TTTTTTTTTTTAAATCATCACACACCCGATAGGAATCTAACTACAGCCAGAAGGTGAGAGACCTGAGCTTCCTTCCTAGTGCTCTGCCTCAGCCCTTCCTGCCCCTTGCTTCCCCCTGGAGTCTGTCTAATCAAATCCAGACCTGACCTCTGCAGAGGCTCTGGACCAGGCAGTAAGTTCCCCTCCCAGAGCTGCTGTGGACCTGGTTCTCAGGAGAGCCTGTCCCTCTGGGTGATTTATAGGGTTGTCCAGGACCACTTCCTGTCATTTCTACTTCCTTCCAACCAAGGATTGCTGGCCTCCCTCTCGGCCCCTCTTGTCTCTGCCATGCTGTACCCGTGGGGTATCAGAGGGAAGCTGGGAGACCCTTTTCAAAAGTGCATGGGGACACGGTGCATGCCACCTCCTTTCCCCTGTTGCTTCCCTTTGACCTCACACCTGGCAGGGCCACTTCATTACCTCTCCTGTCACTCAGCTTGAAGTAAAGAACCCAAACTGTCCTCGGAGGAGCAACAAGTATCTGAAGAACCGGAAAGCACCAACAGCCAGGTCACAGCACTTCCTCAGTGTTCAGAAGCCAACACTGACAATAGCCATAGCAGCCTCCACAGTCACCAAGCATGTGGTGGCCTCTGTTATGACTTATTGAGGGAGCCCAGAGGCCCTGCTGGCAGCCCGATGTTCCACATGTGCCCAGGAACTCTTTCCCCAGAAAGTTAACAACAGAAAAGTCTCTAGGAACTCCGCACTGCTACCACAAGCCCAAACATGAGGAGACCTTATTTTCATTTTAAATTCAGAATCCCAGTGTGTAGCCTAAGCTGGGCTTGAATTCATGATCATCCTGCATCAGCCTCCCGAATACCAAGATTACAGATGTACACTGCCACACCTGGCTGAGAACACACGTGGGAGCAGTAGCTCACGCCAAGACTCCCAACACAGGGAAGGCTACAAAAAGAGGACTGCATTGACTTTGAGGCCAGCCTGGGCTACAAATAGAGTCCAGGATAGAGAAACCCTGTCTTGAAAAAGCAAAACAAACAAACAAACAAAAGACACACACACATAAACCAATAACAAAAACAAGCCAGAACAAACCACACACACACACACACACAAAACTTGTGGACCAAATGCATTCTACCCTTACACTAGAAAAGCCTTAAAGCCCGTTTGAGAGCCAGGGGTGCCTAGAAGGTTCCAGGACCCCAACTAAGCTGAGCAGGCTCTCAGGTCTAGAGACTGTAGCAAAGGTTAGAGCAGAACCTGAGGGTCCTGAAGGGCACACCTGGGGCTCTCAGGAAGCCCCAGGGCTAACCAAAGGGTGAGTGAGGGACATGAAGAGGAGAGAGAAGCAGAAGGCTGGGTGGCAAGAGCACGCCTGACAGGCCAGATGCACTCTGCAGCTCTGTCTAGACTCCTGACCTTCCCTGCAGCCATTGAGAAAGGGCTGGTTGGGGCTAGAGAGATGGTTCAGCTAAGAGCACTGGCTCTTCTTGGAAAGGACCTGGGTTCCGTTCCCAGCACCCACATGGCAGCTCACAACTGTCTGTAACCCCAGTTCCAGGAGATCAGACTCCCTCTTCTGGCCTATTTGGGCAGCAGGCACACACATGGTGCGTAGACATAGCTGCAGGGTGTAAAGATACATCTTAAAACATGCCACACGCACTCAGCAGATCTGGGAAGCGAGAGAGACAGGGACAGAGGGGCATTGGGGGAGCATAGGAGAAGAGAGAAAGGAGGATGGTGGGCCCCCCCCAGGGAAAAAAGTTAGAGAGAGCAGGGAAGGGGAGAGAAATGGGCAGAGAGCAGGTAGGAGTGGCAGATGGTTATATCTGGAGCACCCGGCCCAGGTGGTGACATTGTCAGGACCCTGAAGGCCCCTGGGGGCAGTCTAGTTGAAATGCCTGCACAATTATGTTGATAACAAAGGGAAAATACCCATACACATAAAATAAAATAAATAATATCTTTTTTGGTTGGTTGGTTGGTTGGTTGGTTGGTTGGTTGGTTGGTTGGTTGGTTGGTTGGTTGGTTTTTCAACACAACGTTGTTTTTGGTTTGGTTTTTGTTGTTGTTGTTGTTTTATATAGCCCTGGCTGTCCTGGAACTCCTCTGTAGACCAGGCTGGCCCTAAGCTCACAGAAATCCACCTGCCTCTGCCTCCCAAGTGCTGGTATTAAAGGCATGTGCTACCACTGCCCTGCTAAAAATAAATAAATAATATTTTTTTTTTAAGAAAGGAAAAAGACAAAGAGCCTGGTTTAACATGCAATCTGCTTAGGGTTTCCTGGCCTTGCAGAGAGAGGAAACTGGCTGTTACTAAGGAACACCCCCCACATCCCACCCCCACCCCAAGCCCCACAGAAGGCCTAGGCCTCAGTGCCCTTCTTTCGAGACAAAATGATTCACTTCAAAATGGTTTTCAAGCATTTTTGGAGAAGCAAAGCAGCCATTCAGAAGAGTGTAAGCACAGCACATAGGGACTGCAAGGACCACTCTGGTGGCTGCAATGAGGGTAGTGAGGGCCAGGAGGTCTCAGGAGACAAGTGACCTATTGGTGTGAGGACTGACTCCTTGTCCAACCCATTCCAGCACTGCTATTCCTTTTCAGCATCTCCATATTCAGCCCTGCTGGGCTGACAGTTTTCTTCTGAGGCTGGGGGGGTCAAGGGAGGGCTGCCCAGTAAAAGCCAGATTGCTCTGTCCCAGCACCCAGCCCAGAAAAAGCAGGAGCCTTTTCTGTCTTTCCTCAGCCAGTTCTAGGGTCCCCAGGGAGTCCAGACTGGGGGCTAGAGGCACAAAAGGCTTGTTTCTGTAATGAGGAGACATCTGCAGTCAGCAGAACCATTAGCCCCAGGTCGGAGGTGGGGGGCGGGGGTAGGGAGCTACGGCGCTGCTCCAGCTGGAGTGAGGAGGGGACAGACGCGCCTGCAGAGGCAGAGTCCAGGTTGGGGGGCAAGAGAGCAGACCCTGGAGCCTGGGTGCTCTCTCCCTAACCCCCAAGATCTGTCTCCAGCCCTACCTTCCTGGAGGTTGAGCTGGGAAGGGCCCTTTTCTACCCCCAAACTCCTGAGGCCAGGGTTGACCTCTGTAGATCAGCTCTTTGGCCAAGCACAGACTCGGGCCTGAGGCAGAGCAGGCCAACCTCTGGATGCTCCCTGGGGATCCTCTCATCAAGCCTGATGGGGGCTCCAGCTGGACAACGTACCTTCCCCTCCCAAACCCAGGCCCCAAGTCCTGTGCACAAGAGCTTTACCCACAGGGAGACACTCGTAATTGATCACCTACACACACACACACACACACATGCACGCACGCACGCACGAACGCACGCACGCATGCACCCACCATGGTGGCTGGCAGATTTAACCCCCCTACTGATGTCCTGATGGGGACAGTCAGGCCAAATACAGGAGACAGAGCCAGGCTCCCAAGCAAACACCCAGCCGGAACACATGTACAAGGAACTGTGCCCACCCACCTATCACACTCCCAGGAGGCCACCTGAGAGGAGGAGGCTGGGCAGGGGATTTCTTATGCATGTTTATATTTAATGAACCACATGCAAATGAGATGGGGAATGGCCACAAAGGAGCCAAGCCCCCAGAGACTCTTTGAGGGGAAGGCTCAAAGGCTCCTCCTCATCCTTTCAAGCTGCTGAGCTGCCGTGGAGTCCAGAACAGGACCGTGGATTGAGGGAGCCTGAGAAGGAACATTGGGGCCACAAAGAGGGCTGTCTAGGCATGCCAGGGAGTCCAGGGCAGAAACAACCAGCAACAAGCTCCGGGGTCCCTGCTGCTGTGGGGGAAGGGCTCCTTCTGGGAGGGAGGGAGGTAGGAGGGAGGGGAGGAGGGAGCCACTGTCCCAATTGATGGAGTGCCAGAGAGGAGGGCTGTGGCCTGGACAGATGGTGTACCGCCTTCCTGCACTTGAAGCAAAGTGGATTTTAATGAAATCTCAGTCCGGGTGCTGAGGCTCGTGTGGGAGGAGCCTTCTCCAGGTTTGCAGTGTGGGCCTGAGGCAGGGTGGGAACAGGGTGGGGAGAACACTTAACCAGCTGGGGGAACACGGGGTGGGGGGGCACCACGGCCCCCCTCTGCAGATCAGAGTTTAAGTGTGAGTTTGATTCCCCCAAAGGTGGGGAGGGATCCTTGAATATTTATGACACATTGAAATGTAGATTGGTAGGTTTGACAGTCTTCTGAGAGGGCCTGTCACCGTGCATGGATACACTACCCTCTTGGGGCTCCAGTGGAAAGTGCAGAACAGCCTGTACCAGGGAGAAGGCAAGAAAGAGAAAAGGAAAAAAGAAAGAAAAAAAAAAAAAAGCCACTGGGCCCTGGAAAGGAGAGCCTACTGTTGACAGTGTCCCTGCTAGGTAACAGCGGATGAACCAGTCTCTCTCTCTGGGCCTCAGTTTCCAGTTCTGTAGAATGTGGCACACTGCTCAGGTCACAGGAGACAAAAATACACCAGCCGACTTGGGAGAAGTGCCTTTCCCTAGGTGGCCTTTATGAGGGAGGTCTGGAAGACCCTTCCTTCCTCGGGAGGCCTCCCACAGCCGGCACATGCCTTGTTAGAGTGCCATCCTTCCAGAGTTGGCCAGCCAGGCGCGTCCACCCCATAGCCAAGCCAAGGGAAGCCGTGAACACAGTCCTGTACAATTTGTAAATGTGTTTGAAACATTATGATTTTTTTTTGGTAACTTTTTTTTTTTGGTACCTTTTGGTAACTCGATTGTATGCTTCTCAATTGTGAATTCTGTAGATGACAACATCCTGTCTCACTGTTTCCTTCCCAGGCATCTTAAAGACTGTGTCATCTCTGGGTTGGAGTGTGCCTAGCCAGGGTGGGGGAGGACTGAGGGAAGAGCTGCTGTGTCCCCTGTGCTACTGTCCTGCCTCAAGCCGTCTGCACCTCAGTGGGTGACCCGTTGGCTCTCCCTCTGTGCCTCCACAGGGCACCTTATCTGCCCCCTTCTGTTTCCCCAGCCATGTCAGACTTCCACGTGCACCCCCAGGCTGTCGTGGGTGAGGAGGGCGGTGTTGCCCGCTTCCAGTGCCAAATCCATGGGCTTCCCAAGCCCCTGATCACGTGGGAGAAGAACAGAGTCCCCGTTGACACGGACGATGAGAGGTGAGCCCCTTGTGGGAAGGGCAGAGAGGGTGACTGGGATGCTCATTTCGGATGAAGCCTGTGGTGGGCTTGCATGTACCATCGGCACCTACAGCCTGGGACAGAGAATCGTGGGTCCCTGTGGCTTCCTGGGCCCAGATTCTAGGCTCACGAGAGTGTGGGAGAGGATTGTGTGTGGTAAGTCCACCTGGGAGGGTCGCAGCAAGCATCTGTCATCACAACAGTATGGCCGGGTTAGTACCGAGTCTCCATTTATGTCGATGTGGCTTGAGGTTGCCCCGGCTGTGGTGGTGCCCAACTGTGTCCTCCCCTGGCAGGTACACATTACTGCCCAAGGGGGTCCTGCAGATAACGGGCCTCCGGGCCGAGGACAGCGGCGTCTTCCATTGCGTGGCCTCAAACATTGCCAGTGTGCGAGTCAGCCACGGGGCGAGGCTCACCGTGTCAGGTGAGCTCCTGCGCAGTTCTCTCAGCCTCCCCGGTCGGTTTACCCCCAGACGGAACCAAGTCTCCCGTGTGACCAAGCCTATCATATGCTATGCCGAAGGCACCTGATCGGGTCTCCAGCTGCCTCTTACCAGCAATTCCTGGGCTCTCCCAAGGGCTGGAGGTCTGACTGGGAGAGGAAGGGCCATTACCAGAACCGGCTGGTTCTCCAACATCTCTCTGTCTTCTGAACTTTGTTTGGGGTTGATCCTGGGTCATGAGTGGGAGTGAAGAAGTGGAAAAGCTTCCGACTGAAATAAGGAAACGTGGCCTTCTCCTCCCAGGCTCAGGCTCTGGGGTCTACAAGGAGCCCACCATCCTCGTGGGGCCTGAGAACCTCACCCTGACGGTGCACCAGACCGCTGTGCTGGAGTGTGTCGCCACGGGCAACCCTCGCCCCATTGTGTCCTGGAGCCGCCTGGGTGAGCCTTGTCTGGCCAGCCTACCCCCTGGGAGGGCTGGTCCTATGGTCTCATCACCCAGCTCTGGGGGCTTTAGATTGTGTTTGTTCTCCACAAGGGTCAATCCGGCCCCCTCCCTGTGGCCTGGGGAGGGGCTGGGTTTCCCGGGAGGTCAGTCTGCTGCTGCATTCTCTCTCTCCTTGCCGGGCTGGCTTAGTTCCCTGGGTTACAGTACCGACCCTGTCTCTCTAGCCCCCAGAACTCTCTGCGGCCCTCAGCACCCAGTCCCTCCCACCCTACCCTCTGTGCCTGGCCACACCCCCAGCTACGCAATCCCCATCCTTCAAAATCTCAGTTAGCATTTCCCCCTGGCTCTGCTCTCCCACTCCCAGGCTTGCCTGCTCCCAAGTCTGCCCCAGCCAGAATCCCCAGGCAGCCAAAGAAAGCCGTGAAAGGGTGCAGATGGGCCACTAGTCTAAGCCAAAAGGTCACTGGGGGAAGGAGCCTCTGGAGGGTGGGGCCACATTCACAAGGAGACTAGGCCGCACTAGCAGCTGAGCGATGGGGTAAGGAGGGGCCCCGTGGGATAATGGAGTAGATTTCACCACTTCAGGGCCTGAATGGGGAGCTGTCTCCTTGTGTTCTGGCTGTGCTAATCTGATCCCTGGGGTGGGGGGAGGGCCCGGTCCCAGGGAGAGACTAGAAAGACTAGACTACTATCAGGAGCCACTAGGCACTCCAGGGGCCTTCTGCATGGCCTGGCAGCAGAGAAAGGACGGCTGGGGAACCTAAGAAGCATGGGGAACAAAGTTAACCAAGGCCCTTTACTGAGGGACTTCTCGGGGATCTTTGTATTCATGGGCTTGTACCTCAGCATGCTGGAGAAGATACTCAGCCACGGAACTTACAACTGCTGGTCAAAGTCAAGGCCTCTCTGGAATGAAAGCAGAGGTTCTCAACCTTATGATGCTGCGACTTTTTAATACAGTCCCTCCTGTTGTGGTGTCCCCATGACCATACAATTATTTTCGTTGCAACTTTCGTAACTGTAATTTTGCTACTGTTACGGATCACAATGTAAATATCTGTGTTTTCCAATGGTCTTGGGCGACCCCTGTAAAAAGGTCGCTCATGACCCACGGGCTGAAAACCACTGGGCCAGCAGGTCTGTAATCCCAGTACTTGGGAGACTGAAGCAGGAGGATCTCACCCTGGGCTATGCAGTGAGATACTGTCTAAAAAGAAAACAAACAGCAGCAAAACCAACAAGCAATCCTCATGGACGCTGGCCCTTGCTGCTGGGCACAGGTGCTCCCTGTTTCTGTGCCACTGCTGGAGATCCAGGGAGGGATGCTGCCGAAGCCATGGGCCAGGGCTTTCTGAAACATTCTCCCCCTTCCTGTCTCCACATTCCTGACCCTGCTCATTCCCCCTCCACTTCTGTTGCAGATGGCCGCCCCATTGGGGTGGAAGGCATCCAGGTGCTGGGTACGGGAAACCTCATCATCTCAGATGTGACTGTCCAGCACTCAGGTGTCTATGTCTGTGCCGCCAACAGGCCTGGCACCCGGGTGAGGAGGACAGCCCAGGGCCGGCTGGTTGTACAAGGTACGGAGCAGGCAAACGCTTCCCTGCCCCTGAAGTGTCTCTGGTCTGTGCCACAGACCAGCCCCTTCTGCTCCTCCAGCTGTCCATCCTCAGCCTTGCCCCTCACAAGTCTCTGGCTGGGTTAAAGACAGGGTCTCCCGTAGAACATGAGCCTTAGCACCAGAGGGGTGTGGCATTCTCAGGCGTGCAGCCTGCATGCCCTGCAGCTGCCAGTGCCACCTCTCCACCTTGGAAGGCGCTGTCACTTTCCCGCCTCAGCAGGTCATTCCCCCGGCTCACACTTCCCATGGAGCCGTTTCATTCACACGTGGCACTTCCACGCTCACACCTGCCTGCTGTGCGTTGCGCTCCAGCGTGCCTGTCATCCTCTCTCACACTGCAGCTCCCACCTTGCTCACAAGATGTGGGGCCCATGGCAGGCCTCGGTTTCCATTTCCAGGGCGCTCCCCGGCTGTCTTCTCCTGTGGCTTGGGAATGGCGATGGGAAGTCGGGGGAATTAGGAACGTAAATGCTGTTTCTTTAGCATGCCACGTGCTGTTAATCTGTCCACATGAAAATGATGGAGTATTTCACTCTCGTGTGTTAACAGAGGCTTGAGGCCAGGGACTGGAGAGAGGTGGGATTGGGTGGTGATGGGGGGGTGGCGTTCATCCATCTCCTGTCATTACAGCCTTGGAGGCACAGCCAGCCCTATTAGCGCGTTTATTTATTTAACAATTTCCTGAGCAGATGCCAGTCTTTTAAACAGTCCTTAGGATGGAGTCCTCTTCCTAGATGCTGGGGTGAAGGAAGAAAACGGGGAGCCTCTCCTGCCCTGCTGAGAGGAGTTCTCTCTGACCCGCCACCCCTTCCTCTTCACCCCCTCACTCATGGCTACTCTCTGACGCCACATGCTTCTCTGTGCTCGCTCAGCCCCGGCAGAGTTTGTCCAGCATCCCCAGTCCATCTCCAGGCCGGCCGGGACCACAGCCATGTTTACCTGCCAGGCTCAGGGTGAGCCACCCCCTCACGTCACATGGCTGAAGAATGGACAGGTGCTGGGGCCAGGGGGCCACGTCAGGCTCAAGAACAACAACAGGTGTGTGTGCGCACACGCTCTCCCACACTGTGTTGAGGGTCTATCCTGGGAAGGGACAGAGGTCTGGAATAAGCGGAGAGTGCCGAGAGGGGAGTCTGGCAGCTTGGGGCCTAAGTCTTAGGTCTTGTGTGGACCAGGAGGGACTCATCTCTGGATCTGTGAGGTGGGAGGTGTGGCCGCCCTCTGAGGCTCTCTCTCTCCTTGCAGCACACTGAGCATTTCTGGAGTTGGTCCTGAAGATGAGGCCATCTACCAGTGCGTGGCTGAAAACATCGCTGGCTCATCGCAAGCCAGCGCCAGGCTGACCGTGCTGTGGGCCGAGGGGTTGCCAGGCCCCCCACGCAACGTCCGGGCTGTCTCTGTGTCCTCCACCGAGGTTCAGGTGTCTTGGAGTGAGCCTCTCGCCCACACCAAGGAGATCATTGGCTACGTCTTGCACATCAGGAAGGCTGCTGGTGGGTAGTGCCTATCAGGAGAGCTCTGCCATCCACCTTCACTCACTGTCGCTAACCCTCTATGACACACACACATTCTGACCCCAAACCTTCCTTTCCGTCTGTACCCGGCTCCCTTGAAACTTCCTTTCAAAGCTTTCAAGATGTCCTCCTATGTCTTAACCCTCCCTGGCCCTACCCTTTGCCTCCCAGATTCACCCAAACTAGAGTATCAGGAAGCTGTCAGCAAGAGCACTTTTCAGCATCTGGTGAGAGACCTTGAGCCCTCCACAGCCTACAGCTTCTACATCAAAGCCTACACACCGAGGGGGGCCAGCCTAGCCTCTGTCCCCACCCTGGCCAGCACCCTGGGGGAAGGTAAGAAGTACCCAGCAGAACCATCACATACACCTGTTCGGGCTGAATACTGCCTGACCCTGAGGCTGAGCAGGGACTGGCTGTGCTGGGAGGCAGGGGCAGGATTCTGTTTCCTTTGTTTGTTTCTGATTCATGGATAGATGCTGCCTGAGCAAGGGCATGCCCCATGATGGAGGCCAGAGGGCTGTCAGGTTCTTGGGTTCTAGGTCACAGGTGGAAAGCGGGAGCTCCAACTGACTGTTGACATCTTGGTTGGCCTCCAGCCCCCGCCCCACCCCCGCTATCAGTGTGCTTGCTGGGCAGCTCCTCTTTGCAACTGCTGTGGAAGCCCTGGCCACGGCTGGCCCAGCACAATGGTGGCTTCAAGCTGTTTTACCGCCCAGCCAGCGCAGCCTCCTTCACTGGCCCCATCTTGCTGCCCGGGACCGTCTCCTCTTACAACCTCAGCCAGCTTGGTGAGACCTGCAGGACCGTGGGGCTGTGGAAGCTGTGGCACTGGGGGCCAGGGGTGGTGTCCCTTCCCTTCCAGGACAGAGGTGCCTGGCAGGGGACAGGAAGTTGCTCAGTAACCCTGCTTCCGCAGACCCCAGCACTGTGTATGAGGTGAAGCTCCTCGCCTACAACCAGCATGGAGAAGGAAATGCCACGGTCCGGTTTGTGTCTTTGAAGGGAGCTTCTGAGAGGACAGGTGAGGGCTAAGGGCAGGCTGTGGGCCGGAGCCTGGCTTTCAGGGAGGAAGATGGGTGGTGAGCAGGCCGGGAGGAAGGACAGACAGTGTCTGTAACCCGCAGGCACGCCGCTTAGACGGGAACACGAAAGCCCACAGCTTTTCAGCTGTGTGGCCTTGGACGAGTTTTCCCTTGACCCGTGTTCCCTTGACCCTAGTTTTTCTCCAGTACGATACCTACTTTATAAAACTATGGCAAGGATGGCACAGCCCCATAAAAACAAAGCGAGGTGCAGCTGGTCCTGGCTGGAGGAGAGCTCAGTTTACAGGGCAGGGCGCTTGCCTTGAATACATAAAGCCCTGGGTTCCATCCCCAGTGCCACAGAGCGGGCATAGCATCTCCAACCACAGCACCCAGGAGGCAGAGCTGGAGGATCAGGCCATCCTTAGCTACCTAGCAAGTTTGTGGCCAGCCCGGGCTACATGAGACCCTGTCTCAAAATAGTTGTGCTAGTCCTGGTAGCTGGCATAGAGCTGCTGCCTGGAACTCATAGAAAGAACCGGGAGACTGAGCTGGGGCCTCAGAGGAAGCGTTAAAGAGGTTAAGCATCGGAAGAGGACTGAGGAGTCTTGCTTCAGGCCAGGCACGCTGTGCCCCAACCTGCCCTGCCCTCTAGTCTTGAGTCCCCCCTGTGACTGCTGGAAGGAAGATGTCAGCAACCATTCATCCGCCACAGGCATTGTCGTCGGCATCCATATCGGAGTCACCTGCATTGTCTTCTGCGTTCTCTTCCTCCTGTTTGGCCAAAGGGGCAGGTGAGTCCTGATTCGGGGAAGGGACTCTTGCAGGGGAGGGAGGCAGAGATACCCCCCCCTGTCTGTCTCTATCCCTGATCATGCACCCCTAACACTTGACCCGCCTCTTAGGGTCCTCCTGTGTAAGGATGTGGAGAACCAGCTCTCCCCTCCCCAGGGTCCCAGGAGCCAGAGGGACCCTGGTGTCCTGGCCCTGAATGGAGGGAGCAGAGGAGATGGGGGCCAGCTCGGCCGAGACACCAAGGACTTGGAGCAGCTATCTCCCCCGGCTGGGTCACCTGGGCAGCCGGGCTCCAGACCCACGGTGAGTACCCGTGCCTCCAGTCCCTCTCCCTCAGTCTCTGACTCCCCTCGGGCTGTTCCTCCCTTCATCTTGGCCACAGGGAAAGATCTTTCTGGGACATCTAATTCCTTGGGTCCTGAGTTAGCCTGGGAGGTCGAGGGATGTCCAGGCATGTCCATCCTGCAGCCTCTAGGCCACATGCTTCTGCACTTGGTGGGTAAGAGCTACCAGTGTAGTCTACCACAAAATTGTAAATTAACTTAAACCAGGATGAACCAGCTGTGGTCGAGTATACTTGTAATGCCTGTACTCAGGACCTGTAGGCCTGGAATCCGAATTCCAGGATCATCCTCAGCTACATAGAGAGCAAGCCTGAGCTACATGATACCTCTTTAAAAATAAATTATGATTCCAGGCTTGGTGGTCCACACCTTTAATCTCAGCACTCGGGAGGAAGAGGCAGGCGTATCTCTGTGAGTTCAAGGCCAGTCTGGTCTACAAAGCGAGTCCAGGACAGCTAGGGCTACACAGTGAGAAGGGTTTTGTGTGTGGCTTGGCTGAATGTTTTCCAGCGTGATCTTTTTGATGACAGTGATACAGCCGCTGCTTGCTCTGACCTACACCGACCATCATGCCTGACTCTTCCTTCCTCAGGGCCTCTCAGCCTCTGCTCTGTGTGAGGAGACCCAGCTCTCCATGGTGCAGCTTCGAGACTTCAACCTTGTGTCTGGGAGGACGACGGAGGCCAAATCTCCCTGTGCGGGGCCTGGGCTGGCCCCAGAACCCCAGGATGTAGGCCCTGGCCTGCTCAGTGAAGGACAGACTGCCCAGCCTCCAGCAGCCCCAGCTTCCCAGTGAGCTCACTGAGACAAGAGCCAGCGTTTGGTGTGTTCCCGAGGGGCGGCGCCCCATTCTCAGGTCGAAGGCAAGGTTTTTCCTGTTCCTGTGGGATTTGGATGGTTCTAGGAGCCCGCCACTGAAGGACAGGGTTCTCAAACCATGGGAGCTGGTAGGCCCTGTTACAAACGGCATCTCTCCACTAGAGCTAATGCCCCTCACCAACGCCTGCGGCCCACAGGACTTCTAATGAAACGAAAGTTTTCCTTTAAAAATCAAAAATTTAACATCAAAAATGAGAGAGAAAGGAGAGGGACTGAATTATACTCAGAAATACGTCCCTGCTGTGGCCTGTCCCTGATGCCATCACGCAGCTCTGACCTTGTTTTCTCAGGGTGGATTTTAGCTGTTTTGACTCTCAGCACCTACCTCAGCCGGAATGAATGTCCTTGGGGGCTAGTGGGGCAGTCGCCTCAGCCCCCTGCCCCACAGAGCCCAAATGCACTCCTACCTCAAGCCCCTTTATGGGTACCCCGCCCTCCCCATTGTTGCCCAGAGAAAAAGAAGAAAAACAAAAACAAAAACAAAACAAAAAAACAACAACCCCCCCCCAACTCCAAGTGTGAAAGAAACCGTCTACCTCAACCTCAAGGCCCTCTATGTGGGCCTGTGTTGTCACTGGACCCTCCTGGGCCTCCTCCTCCCCTAGCCTTGCCTACCTCCCCCCAATAGAGGAGGCTGTAGCTAAGTGACCATGGGGGCTTACAGAAACAGAGATGAAATTGGTCAGAGAGAAAATGTGAAACAAGCCAAAAAAGGAAGAGGAAAGTTGCTCCTTGAAATATAGACATTGTTGTCCCAAACTGTTCACCTCCCTGCTGCCCCCTGTACACCATCCCCTGTGTCTACCCACTCTTGTTCTGACCTTCTCAGACAACCCGCTGGCCATCTGGATACTTGTAGTCCTCCCTGCCTGGGCCTGGGGAAGGTAAGACAGACCCTGGAGGCTCAGTCCCGCTCAGACACGGAGCCCGCCCCTGGGATGTGCTGCATTGTGGGGAGCTGGGTGCTCCCGACAGAGGCACTCCAGCCTTCTGTGACTGAGGTAACCTGCCCTGTCAGCAGGGGTGGCCAGGAGTTATTTTTGTATGAGGTGTGTTTACGTTTTATTTCTCTTTTCTGTTGAATTGTTCTCTAAACTACTTAGGTTTAAAAAGAAGAAAAAGAAAGAAAAAAAATTAAATACGTATTTTTGGTTACACTCAGAAACATTTTTTTAAATAGCAGAAGAAAAACATTTTTTAAAGAAAAAGAAAGAAGTGTATTCCTTTAGAATGAGGTTAGACTATAAAGTCCCTGACCCCAGATCTTCTAGGGACAGCCCACCCTGAACTTTGGATAATTAGCTGAAAAAGGTAGAATTTGTGGCATTTTGTTAGAAAACTAGAGTCTTGTCCAAATGGACTTGGGAAGGGCAGTTTGTCCCTTCTCCCAAATGGTGGGTGGATTCCGGGGCTCTTCCCAGTCTGAGGCACTGCCCTCTGCTCTGTCCTGTGGTGTCACTTCTCTGTGGCATCCCATTCTGCCTGGGTCGGAGGGACCGGGGAGAGGAGGCTGGCAGCCTCTTTGGCCTCCCCCGAGGTTGTCACAGTCTGTTCATTTTAACTGAATAAAACTGTTGCCAAAGTGAACACTGAGTTTTCTGATATGGCCGTGCAGGGAAGGGATGGGGGGGGAGGAGTTTGGGGGAGGGACCCTCACAGGGTCAGGGTCTGCGATGACAGCTAACTGCTCTGAATTGTGTGAAATACCTGATATGGGAGGTCACACGTCCACACAAAGCCATGTGGAGCAGCTGTGCCGGTGGCCATCATTCCCACGGTCAGATACACAACCCAAGAAAGGGGAGGCGCTGGGCCGCGGCTCAGCTGGATGCTTACCCAGCATGCACAAAACTTAGGTTCCAGCCCCAGCACCGCATAAACCGGGCATGGGGCTATGCAGCCATCATCCCAGAACACAGGAGGTAGAGGCAAGAGGAGGAGAATCCAAAGTCGATGGGCTGGAGAGATGGCTCAGAGGTTAAGAGCACTGGCTGCTCTTCCAGAGGTCCTGAGTTCAATTCCTAGCAACTACCCGGTGGCTCCCAACCATCTATAATGAGATCTGGTGCCCTTTTCTGGCATGCAGGTGTACATGCAGGCAGAACATTGAATACATAATAAAATAAATAAATAAGCCTTACAAAATTAATTTGGCCCAAGTGTGGTGTCCCATGCCTTTAATCCTAGTTAATCCTAGCAGGTAGGCAAACAGATCATTGTCAGTTTGAGGTCAACCTGGTCTACAAAGTCCAGGACAGCCAGGGCTACACAGAGAAACCCTATCTCAAAAAAAAAAAAAAAAATAGGGTTATCTTCAATTACGTTGGTACCCCTCCCTCCCTGGTGCCCCTGACATGGTGTCTGCTCTGTTCAAGGGCTATGGTTTGGGCAGGGCAAGGAGTGGACAGCTGTTTCTGTCCTGCTTGGCTTCTTTCAGCTGGTGGGCAGCTGGAGGCTGGGGCTGCCCCCATGTTTAGTGGTTGATACTGTCAGAGCGCAAGGGAGGCAGATGTGTTACTGTCCCTAACCTCACAATACTTCTTCTCCATTGTTTGCTAAAGCAAGTCATGAAGGCTGGTCAGACTTAGGGATTTAGATCACACGAGTGGCAAGAGTGTCAGGGAGCATGTGGACATACTTTAAAAACAACCACAGAGAAGGTAAGTGTCTCAAAAATAAAGAAACAAAAGAAATTAGGTAAAAAGCAATCAAGGTACACACACACACACACACACACACACTCCTGCACATACATGTACACTCATAGGCAATAGGGACGCAACACACACAGAAGCAGAGGCTGGGATGGGGCTCCGTTGGTAGTTTGGCAGGAAACCCTGGGTTCAGTCCCCAGAATTGCATAAACCGGGGGTGGTGGTACACACCTGCAATCCTAACATCTGGGAGGCAGGGGTGGGAGGGTCCCATATTCTGGGCCATCTTCAGCTTTATAGAGAATCTGAGGCCAACCTGGGCTAGAGACCCTGTCAAAAATCAAGAGGCGGCAGGTGAAATGGTCTATCAGGTAAGGGCATTTACCACCAAACTTGATGACCTTGGGACTTGTGTGGTGGAAGAAGAGAGCTGACTCTTGCAAATCTTCTCTGACCTCCACGGGCACACTATGGCACGCACAATCACATAGATAGCCCTAGAAACAAGCAAACTTAACAAGCAAACAAGCTTAACGTGGGCCAGGGGAGCGGAAACCGAAGCAGAAGATTGCTCCTCCTGACCTGGCTTCCCACGAGTCTCTGGTCCCAGCCTGGTAGCTTAGTAGCCCAGAACTTAAGGCTCGGGCAGTACAAGAGAGCTTTGCTGCCACCTTCTGGAAGCAACGAACATTACAGCCAATGGGACGGGTGTGCCTTATTAAAAACACCAGTAGCAATCAAGACTAGTTTTGCAGGAGAGGTGCAGAGCCAGGGAGGGCATCCAGTACAGAAAGCAGGACAGGAGCCAAGGTTGGAGTCATGGAAGTGCACCAGGAGGTAACCAGCGGGCAGCCAGGAGGCTGTCATTTTGCTGTGTGAGGTGAGGCACTTAGATACGTGAATGGAAAACGTAAATGGAACGACGACTCTGTTCCCACATGTGCTCTGTGCACGGTTGATGGTTCCCGGCGTCTCAGGGGCGGAAGGGGCTCGCTGAAGTGTTATGTCCCATTGCAGCTGACGACACCTGCAATTTCATTTTATTTTGCATCAAACCTTTTTATCACATCTGTTCATTGACTCTGGAGGAAGACAGCATGTACGTCATGGTGCGCGTGTGAAGGCCACAGGACTATCTCCTGGAGTCAGAATCTGGTCTCTCCTACCATCTGGGTCCCAAGGACTGAATTCAGATCTTGCCAGGGCTGGAAAGATGGCTCAGCCATCTTAACTGATGGCTCAGGTAAGAGCACTACCAGCTCTTCCAGAGGACCCAAGTTCAATTCCCAGTACCCTCAAGGCAGATCACAACTGTCTATAACTACATTTCTAGGGGAACCAACACTCTCATACAGACATACAGACATAACAGCACATAAAATAAATAAATAAATAAACAAATAAATCATTAAAAAATAATAAATAGCCAGGTGTGGTGGCACACACAGCACTCAGGAGGCAGAGGCAGGCGGATCTCTGTGAGTTTGAGGCCAGCATGGTCTACAGAGTGAATGCAGGATAGCCAAGGCTACACAGAGAAGCTTGTCTCAAAAAGAAAAAGATAAAAATAAAAGATAAAAGCAGGTATCCTTACCACATGAAGAAGCCAAGGCCTAGAGAAGCGAAGGGTGGATCTGGGGCCTGACTCCCAGATTCCTTGTCCTGCTCAGGCTGCTTACATTCCAGAGAGCGTGGAATATAAGCCAATTGAAACAGAGTTTGTTTTGGTTTTGCTTATTGGAATTTTTTGAGTTTATAATATAATTACATCATTTACCCCCTTTTTTCCTGCCTCTAACCTTTCCCATGCATTTCTCTTACTCTCTCTCTCAAGTTCATGGCCACTTCTACTTAAAAAAAAAAAAAAAAAGATTTATTCATTTATTATTTATACAATATTCTGCCTGCATGTGTACCTGCATGCCAGAAGAGGGCACCAGATCTCATCATAGATGGTTATGAGCCATCATGTGGTTGTTGGGAATTGAACTCAGCACCTTTGGAAGAATAGCCAGTGCTCTCAACCTCTGAGCCAGCTCTCCAGAACACTTTTTCTTTAATTGTTGGTGTGTGTATTCCTAAACATATAAATGCAACCTGCTCAGTCTGTATAATGCATCTTGTGTGATGTTTGTTTGTCTTTAAAATGAGGAGATCCTGAACTGTCAGACACACCTCCTGTCCAAAGGAATGTTAAGTATATCATAAAATGGACAGGGAACCTGCCATAAACTTAGTGCCCCCAAGCAGGCTGAGGGCCAATGCTTCCTGGCAATCATTCAGTTTCCTTAAAAGAGGTAGAGTGGTTTAAGAGTATGGGCTCCGGTTTATATTCCCGGTCTGTCACTGCCCAGCTGAGTGGCTGGTGGGCACTCCTGATCTCTGTTCTAGTTTTCCTGGAGGTTGCTGGAGGAGTGAACAAGTCAGAGCTTCTGCAGGCTCTATGCTCCATCTGTAAGGACCACCACCCGAATCTGGGGAGATCTTGGCCCATCCTCCTCTAGAGCCACTTCCTTTCTCTGCCCCTTGCTAGACACTCTCATACTGAACCCTCTGCCCTGAAATGCGATAGCAACACGGGCTCATCTTCAGCTGCTCGGGAAACTTAGGCTTCAATTTCCCAAAGACAGAGGGCTTTTGACATGAGGTAGCAGTAGAGTCACAGTGGAAACTTGTGGAACCAGGGAAAGGAAAAATGAAAGGAGAAGAAAAAAGCAGAAGACGAACTGGAAATGGAGCCAAGAGTGACCTCGGCTGGGCATATCAGCACATGTCTTTAGTCTCAGCATTTGGGAGAATAGGTGGGTGGACCTCTCTGAGCTCAAGGCCAGCAGGCCCAGGAGAGCAAGTTCTAGGCCAGCCACGACTATGCTTCAGCCGCTAAAGGTGTAGCATGGGTGGAGTAGACGCTTGGGTTCCGGCCCAGCTACCCGATAACTTCTTAAGGGAAGGTGAACAAAGAGCCTGAGGACTTGGCAGTTTAAATTATCATCACCCCCCCACCCCCACCCCCCGGCTCCCTTTCATTCCTCCAGGGCATGAGACTTTGAGAATCTCAGTGCAGCTCCAGGCTTGACCTCTGCCCCTCTGAGTATTTCCTCACCCGGTGGTGATCACAACCAGACTGAAATAGCTGTTTTGTGAAGAGACCAAATGAGGACCCAAGCAGACAATTCCTGGCACCTAGTGCAAGGTAGGTGCTCAATAGACATTCTGTGTCGTGAAGGTGAGTCTAAGAAATACAGCTGAGGGGAAAGGGCTAACCTAGGAGGCAAGAGTCCCTGGGTCCGAGCCCAGCCCCAGGGGGTAAATCAGAAAAGGATATTGCAGACATGTAACAAAGGACTGCACCTTGCTCCCGCTCTCTGGGCTTGGCTGTCCTTGAATCCAGCCCAGCAG